ATGTGTTTATACAAAAATTCAGAATCCCTTGGATGATAGATTATTTTGTAAATCATGCAGTAATAATGAAGAATATAAATTAGCATACCCTATAAATGAAAGTAAGATAACTTTCTAGAGTAGATGTTAAAAAAGATTCTGTTCATTATTGTGTGGATGTGTGTATAAATTGAGGTATAACATACAGTGCATAGTTTGATGAATTCATACACAAGCATACACATAAACACATGTAACTGCCACCTTGATCTAGATATGCTGAGTGCATGGTTGGGAAACATAGGACAAACTTATTGGTAAACAGTATGTTATATTTTCAAATAATGTGCCCATTATGTTTTCATGTATACAATAAGTACAATTGAAAGTATCCAAAAAGTCTAGAAACGAGGAAAATAGTGTATTATGTATTAACAATTGGATTCATTGCCTTAACTTTATAAATATTTTACCTGAAAAGGTAATTTGAGTTTAAAGAAAAAGATATTGAGTATATTATCTGAAAATGTAACTAACACATATTTATCCTGCTTTCTGACTTTAGGGACAGTCTGTACTGTGTAATATTTCCAGTACCCTAAGCAGTTTCCTTACCTTCCTTTCTGGTTAGTACTCCCCAGCCATCAGAGGTAACCACTATTCTGACTTGCATCATCATATTTCTTCAAATATTCCTTCTCTGTTAGTCAACATGTGCAGGAAAGGTAAATAAAACTTTTAAAAAGAAACAAACTAAACAAACAAATCTTTGCAACAAGTGCTACATTTTATCAGTCTATGAAATGTTTTAGGTTCAGTTACAACTTTCATACTCCTTTTTTTTCAAAGGACAGTGAATTAGGAGCATTTCAAACAGCACTTTTAACTGAAAATGATTTTGGTACAGTATGTGGTTATTACAAAAGCAAAAAAGCTGATGGAAAAAATACGTTATAGAAGATTTGAGAGTCCTTTTAAATAGGACTAAAACTAAATGTTACTAAGTTAATGGAAACCTAAAATGTAGGAATCTCATTTTTTTTAATTAATAGAAATGATTTTTTCCTTCATTATTATTTTTTTTTTTTTAGAGAGAGGGAATGTGTGGGGGGGGGAGGGGGGGGGGGGGGGGGGTGCAGAGGGAGAGTGAGAGAGAGAAAATCTTAAGCGGGCTCCACGCTGGCATGGGGCTCAATCTCACAACCCTGAGATCATGACCTGAGCTGAAATCAAGAGTCAGACGCTTAACCAACTGAGCCACCCAGGCGCCCAAGAAATGATTTTAAAATACTTCCTATTATTGCCGCACTAAATTCTAAAAATTATATTTCTGTATAATGATAAATTATGTGACTATTAAAATTTTAATATTAAAAAATCTGTTTAAAATTCTGATTATATTTTTAGATGCCTTATGTTTAGTCTTATTCAGAATCTATCCCCAGAGATCTATCCACAATCCAGAATTGATCCACAGAGGTCAACCATGTATCTTCTCTGTAGTTTCTCATATTCTTGTTTTAGCCCCGTCTATCCTGTGTTCCTCATCGCCTTTTGATAGTATGATCACTGAAGTCTTTAAGTAAATGTATATACTAAATGTAGTCTGAATTATGGTGCAATTGCAGAGTAGGATTTAATCTTACACATTCCCATATTATAAGGTAGGGAATGATTTTGACATGACATTTTTTTTTTTAAAGATTTTATTTATTTATTTGAGAGAGAGAGAGAATGAGAGATAGAAAGCACAAGAGGGAAGAGGGTCAGAGGGAGAAGCAGACTCCCTGCTGAGCAGGGAGCCTGATGCGGGACTCGATCCCGGGACTCCAGGATCATGACCTGAGCCGAAGGCAGTCGCTTAACCAACTGCGCCACCCAGGCGCCCTTGACATGACATTTTTAATAAGGCCATTTCATTTGTAGAAATATTGCACCTTCTAATTGTCACCCTTTCAACAGCCTATACTTTGTCTCAGTAGGTTATCCATACTCCATTATTTCCTCCTTATCATATTCAAATAGTATGTTAATTCTCATAAAACACTAATTTTTCTATTTCTGTATATCTGATCTTTTGTTTTCTATGTAGAATGACTTCTGATATAAATTTTCTTAAATCCAAACTTAGTATAATAGGTACAATTATTTGAGTACTTCATTATGTCTTCTGATATGGTTGGATATGAACATATTAAACATATTAAGTAATATTTTATTATGATAAATGTCTGTTTTTCCTTTGTATTTTTATTTATATGTACAAAAATATCATTATGAATTTTTTTGGAATAGTAAGGGGAACTTTACGAAATATGTTCTAAAGGGGGAAGTTGGGTCTGATGGGGTTGAGAAACTGTTCTAAACAAATCAGTGCAGTGAAGTCTTCCAGGTATTCTACTAGAACTGTCAGGACACAGTGGCAGTCTGTAGCCCGGGAATGCTCAGTTCAGGCAGAGGGTGGAATTCGTGGCAGGGATCATGGAAACGTGAGACTGCACAGGAAAAGTTTGGTTTGTTTCTGTGTGTTTCTGTGTGTCTCTCTTTTCTAACCTGAAAGTTCCTTGAGGGGCAGAGACCATTTTTCCTTACTCTGAGTCCCTGGTGCTGGGCCTAGTCCATGGAAAATACATAATAAATGTTGGAAGAATGGGCAACTCCCACACAGGTATGTAAGTTTGAGGGAGAGACCTGAAGGGTGGGCTTGTCCAGAAGCCAGATTGCTGCAAGGGTACCAAGACATGGATCATGTATTTGCGTACTCAGAAGGAAATTTAATAATTGCCTAAGTACTTTGGGGAAATCTCCCTAAATCTTAAAAGAATTGAAATTAGCATATTAATCTAAGGCAAGGGTCCTTAGAATAAAGGGGGATTATGAATTTGGATAGAAAAAAATTACATTATTTTTACTAACCTCAGACTGAAATTTAACATTTCCTTCAGTGTTGAATGTAGGTCACAGTGGTAGTATTAGCAGTAACTGTAATGTTTTTTGCTACTAAAAGCCATAGATATTTTCTTTTTTTTTTTTTTAAAGATTTTATTTATTTATTTGAGAGAGAGAATGAGAGAGAGAGAGAGAGCACATGAAAGGAGGGAGGGTTAGAGGGAGAAGCAGACTCCCTGCTGAGCAGGGAGCCCAATGCGGGACTTGACCCTGGAACTCCAGGATCATGACCTGAGCCGAAGGCAGTCGCTTAACCAACTGAGCCACCCAGGCGCCCCAGCCATAGATATTTTCAATTTCAGTTGTTGGAGGTACCTCACAATATTGTTTATGCTCATTATTTTCATATTGTAATTATTAGACCTGCCGTTTGATCTTGTTACTTAAACCATTAATAAAGAAGCACATGTATTACCTATCACAACTTTGTAATAATTGTATTTTTAAATTTTATTTTAAAACATTCTGAAATTCTAGAGTAAGCAAAAACAGTGTTATAATGATAGAAATCAGATGAGTGGTTGCTTCTTGTAGAGAAGGTTGATTGGGAAAGGGATACAAAAGAACTTTCTAGGGTGATGGAAGTGTCCTATGCATGGTATGCATGTATCACAGGTGACTGAATGTTAAACTTGAGATCTGCATTTCTCTGTGTGTAAATTATACCTCAATTAAAAAACGGATACATTTAGAACTATTCTTAGAAGGTGTCTGTAGGCTGCATCAAATTGCCAAAGAAGTCTCTGGTAGCAAAGATGGTTAAGAGGCCTTTTTCTGAGGCCATCCTGTTGCCTTTGCCTTTCTCTTTCTTTGAGTACCCTGTTTCTCCCAGTTACTTTTGCGATTCATTTCCCCTTTTTTCTAAATGTGTTCTCACTTTTTTGACCTAAGGAAAGGCAGAAAAGAAAAATAGCAGCTATGAAAGAAATTTTTTGCTTGGTTGTTTGCCCCTTTCTTGAAGCCAGTAAGGCTGTAGCTCTCCTAACATGGTTATGTATTTGCTAAGAACTAACTTGTAGATGATTTCAAAATGGAATGATTTTTCTTATCCAGTTTTGCTTGGAATTTTAGTAGGATTTTTATCCCTTTGTATCATTTAATATGCAGTTCTGTTGTGAAGTAGCCATGAACATTTATAACAAAGATTGGAAGGAAATAAAATGTATTAGGAATCAGAAAAGCATCAAAGAAGGAAGGAAAGAAAAATTAATATTACAGTCTAATCCAGATTTTTTCCCCCCAGAAATCCCATCTAGGTATCCTCAATGCAGTATGATAGTATATATTCCAAATTCAAATTATGTTTTACTTATATAAAACTCAAAGTAATACACATATCAAATATTAGCCTATATCTATTTAAAATGTGGTGACAGGGCTTGAAGATTTAAAAAAAATTTTTTTTTTAAGATTTTATTTATTTATTTGAGAGAGGTGGGGGGAGAGCACAGAAGGAGAAGCAGACTCCCTGCTGAGTAGAGAGCCCAATGTGGGGCTCGATCCCAGGATCCTGGAATCATGACCTGAGCAGATGCTTAACCGACTGAGCCACCCAGATTTTCCTTTTTTTTTTTTTTAAGATTATTTATTTATTTGACAGAGAGAGAGAGACACAGCGAGAGAGGGAACACAAGCAGGGGGAGAGGGAGAAGCAGGCTTCCCGCTGAGCAGGGAGCCCAATGCGGGGCTCGATCCCAGGACCCCGGGACCATGACCTGAGCCGAAGGCAGCCGCTTAATGACCAAGCCACCCAGGCACCCTGGGGTTGAAGATGTTAAACACAGTGTAGATATGTGTAGAACAAACATTGGGCTATTAGTGGCACCCAGTGCTAAGACTACTCCTAATATAACTCTTGTTGCCTATCATCTTATAACTGTTAGTTTTTCTCTACTGTTCTAACATTTCCACAGTCTTTATTTTAGGACACTTATTTTAATAGATTACAAAATATTCTAAGAAAGATTGAGCTAAGGTGGATAGTCCTAACAGATTTTTGTCCAAATACTATCTGTGTCTTTTATGACTTGGTATTAGATAAAAAACCTTACTATTTGGCGGTTTCTTTGCAGCCTCTCGTGTGGAAAATTTGAAATGCAGAGGAGAAACAATAGCTAAGGAGATCAGTGAAGCCATGAAGGTAAAAGCTACATGCTAAAAAGTTATAAAATGAACAATACGTAGCTAGGTATTTCCTTTCAACATCCATATGTATTTTAGTCTATTGTAACAGGAATTCTCAGTAGTCTTTTAAGTAGATCTTTAATGAATTTATTAAAGTGACAGTAACATTGAGAATAACTAACATTTAGTAGGCACCAGTATGTGCCAGTATTATATTTAGCTTCTTTGAAGATTGATTATATTTTTGAATTTTGAGAGTTAGCAGTCTATCAAACAAGTTTGGATAATAATGTCACTTAACATTTAGTGAGCATTTATGGGTCAGGCACCATCTAACTGCTTTACATATATTATCTTATTTAATCCTTGCAATAATCCTCTGAGGTAGATACTGCTAATTTCCCTATTTTATATTTTAGAAACTGAGGCACAGAGAGAGGCTATAGATTGCCCAAATAAATAAATGAGTCAGGACTTAAACCCTGGATATTTGGCTCTAGAGCCTAGATATATTCTTAACTGCTATATTATGCTGCATATCCAACTTGGATATCTTAATATTATTATAATAAAATTGTTTATCTTGACATTTTATGCATACAGGGAAACATTTGGATTCCTAGTGTATGAAAATTACTTTAAAACTCCTCTAAATCTCCCATGTTCTGATAATTTTCTGTAACATTCTTTTGTGGTTTGTATTGATTCCATGATTTTCTGATACTCATAGCATTTTCTTTATCAGTAGTTGGCAAACTGGTGGGCAGGCAAAAACCCAGCCTTGCCACTTGTCTTTGTAAATAAAAATTCATTGGAACACAGCTATTTCTATCCATTTATTTATTGTCCGTGGCTTCTTTACATTACAATGGCAGAGTTGAGTAATTGTGACAGAGATGTAAGGCCCTTTACAGGAAAAATGTCCTGATTCCTGTTCTTGATGATCAAGATTTCTAAAATACTTATTATCCTAAAATATGGAATTTCAGACATTAAATCCTTGGCTCTGAAATTCTGTTACTTCCTGCTGCCAAAGTTTTATTTTACTACCAGACATCGTAAGAATAGAATGTATCTTTTAGTTTTAGTTTTTGGTTAAAATCCTCAACTAATACTGGTATTTTAAGGTAAAGCCAATATCCATGACCCAAATAATTAGGTCTTAGAAAAAGCCTTGACCTGAAGAATTAGAATCTAGAGTGTTGTATCTGTCTCTGTGTGTTTGTGTTCCAGCCTGAAATTAATGTTAAGTATTACTGTTGTTTGTTTAAGTCCTTGCCTGCATTAATTGAACAAGGAGATGGATTTTCCCAAGTCTTAAAGATGCAGCCTATTATCCAGCTCCAGAGAGTCCACCAAGAAGTCTTTTCTGGTTGTTGTAGGAAACCAGATGTTAAACCTGAGAGCTTTATAACACAAATAGAAACCACACCAACAGAGACTTCAACCAGGAAAGCCACTGACCTGGTCTTGAAAAGAAGGCGAACTAAAGACTGCCCCCAGAGAAAATGGTATCCACTACGGCCAAAGAGAATTAATCTTGACACGTAAACTCTTGTTTGTCTTGAGAGTTGAAATTTGGCACTGTCAACATTTAGATTACAGCCCGATGCCTAGACAGGAAAAGACAAATAACTCTTTAACTAGTGATTCCTTTATACAAATATAGTAGCTCTATGCTGGGATATAATGTAATAGTTGTATTTCCTTATTATTTCGTCTTTAGTAGATGAAAAGTATATTTTTTGAATATTGGCACAAAGCCCATTAGTGGGCATTAAGAGTGCAAGCTTAAATGTCCTTAAATGTAATCAACTCTTGGCTGCCTTACAGCCTTTGTGGAATATCATGAGTAACACATTCTATTGGATTTCTAGTATACATCTTTTAAAAAGAGCAGTATCACAGTTGTCTCTAAGTGCTAAAAGTAATCATCAGTTCTGTTTAGGAGCTAGGAGCAGATAAAGTCCCCCCCCCCCAGTGCAGTTTGATTTATCACATTGATATGCAGATAAGAAGACTGGCTTTGACTTTGTTACTCTAAATTCAGCTAATTTGGATTTGTGGTATTATTTTTAGGATTTTTTTGTTTTTGTTTTGTAAGACAGATGACTTAATTATGTAAGACTTTTTCTTAGAAATAAAAATTGGCATGTAGCCAATGTTTCTTTCCACACTTATTTTCTACAGGCCTTTCAACTTGGGACTAAGGGTTTCTTTTCAAGATTTCTCATATCTTTGTACATGATTGCAGTTCAAAAATATATATTGGATTAAAAATTAACAAATTGTCATTGTGGAACAAATATAGATGCAATCATACTGAACTATTTTACATTTAAGGATGTTTATTTATCAAGGATGTTATCGGTAGAACGCTGAGGAAGCTATATCGCCTATAGCTCTAACATTTCACTATAGTTATAGCTCTTACTGTGTCTCTTCCTCACATTAGTACAATGTAGGCAGGGCCATCCAACTTTTCTCCTTTTCTCCTTTGATGACTGTATAACTTCATTCATTTGCAGAGGAATTTACTAATCATGACGTTGGGAATCTGTACTTCTTATTTACTGTGTCTTACCAATCAAATATCTAAATGTGATAGAAAATGTGTCTCAGTGAAAAAAATTTACAAAGCCACTTTATTGCACTCTGTATTTTAATTTACAATTTTAGATCTGTATATCTGTAATAACAGTGTATTTTTAATTAAAATAATGTACAAAGACTGAAATCTTGATACTGTGTATTTTTTCAGTTGTAGACATCTTGAACTCAGCTTTAGTTGAATAGTAGGTAAGCGTCTTGCCTTTCAGAACATAATAAATTTCCCTTTAAAATTGTTTTGAAGCTACAGAATATTGTTATTCTAATACAGTGCTATGTTTTTTATAGTATAAAATTCTTATGAGTTGTTTCATTTCAATAGCCTGTAAACAAAACAATTATTGTTTTTTTTTTTTAAAGATTTTATTTATTTATTTATTCAACAGAGAGAGACAGCGAGAGAGGGAACACAAGCAGGGGGAGTGGGAGAGGGAGATGCAGGCTTCTCGCCGAGCAGAGAGCTCAATGTGGGACTCGATCCCAGGACCCCAGGATCATGACCCAAGCCGAAGGCAGACACTTAACGACTGAGCCACCCAGGCGCCCCATCAAAACAATTACTGTTAATTCTAGATTAGATAATTGCATTGTGATTATATAAGAAAATGCCTTCCTTTTTTAAGAGATACATATTAAGATACATAGAATTTAATGACTCGATGTCTTGGATTTGCTCTGAAATATGTCAACAAAGAAGAAAAAGAAAAGGAATAGATTAAGTAAATGTGACAAAAATCTTAATAATGTTAGATCTGTGTGATGTATACATCTTTCTACTCTTGTACCTGTTTGGAAATTTGTATAATTTTTTAAAAAGTTTGTTATATTTTAAAGTTCCCAGACAACTGAAATTTGAAATCCCTCAGAGAGCCCAGAGTGTCACTCCACAGTTATAGCAGAGTTCCAAATGAAATACCACCGGGGAGGACAGTATATTAGCATTATTAACTAGGATAAGCCTGGCTGATATCAGTAAAAGTGTTGGGTAAGTATACTTTTTTTTAATTAATTTTTTTTTTTAGTAGTCTCTACACCCAATGTGGGGCTTGGACTCATGACCCCAAGATCAAGAGTCACATGCTTTTCCAACTGAGCCAGCCAGGTGCCCAAAGTGTACATTTTTAGGAAGAGAAATTGGATTCCTGCATAAGACAAGAGTTAGCTAACTAAGATTATGAAAAGTAAGACAGTCTGTAGTTATAGGCAATGTTGAAGGAAAACAAAATCAAATGTTGGCCTCCTTATGGTAAAAAGACTGGATTGGATGGAGTCTTAAAATTTGCTTTCAGCAGGGCCGCCTGGGTGGCTCAGTTGTTAAGCGTCTGCCTTCGGCTCAGGTCATGATCCCAGGGTCCCGGGATCGAGCCCCATGTCGGGCTCCCTGCTTCACGGGAAGCCTGCTTCTCCCTCTCCCACTCCTGCTTGTGTTCCCTCTCTCTCTGTCTCTCTCTCTCTCTGTCAAATAAATTCTTAAAAAAAAAATTGCTTTCAGCAGAAACAAGACAAAAAAGCACAGCACAAGAAGGTCAAATCCAGTTCCAAGGGAGAGAGAACACTGTTAAAGCAGCTGGTTTCTTTTTTTTTTTTTTTAAGATTTTATTTATTTGACAGAGAAAGACACAGTGAGAGAGGGAACACAAGCAGGGGGAGTGGGAGAGGGAGAAGCAGGCTTCCCACAGAGCAGGGAGCCCGATGCGGGGCTTGATCCCAGGACCCTGGGATCATGACCTGAGCCGAAGGCAGACACTTAACGACGGAGCCACCCAGGCACCCCAAGCAGCTGGTTTCTTTCTTTCTTTTTTTTTTTTAAAAGACTTTATTTATTTATGTGAGAGAGAGAGAGAGCATGAGAGGGGGGAGGGTCAGAGGGAGAAGCAGACTCCCTGTTGAGCAGGGAGCCCAATGTGGGACTCGATCCCGGGACCCCAGGATCACGACCTGAGCTGAAGGCAGTCGCTTAACCAACTGAGCCACCCAGGCACCCCCAAGCAGCTGGTTTCTGAAAGAAGTGAAGGAAAATCTGTTTTCTAATCTTCAGCCATTGGAAACTATTAGTCTGATTGAGTTGCTATAACAAAATATTAGACTGGATGGCTTCAAAAACAAATTTAATTTCTTATATTTCTGGAGGCTTAAAGTCCATGACCAAGATGCTAACAAATTCAGTTTCTGGTGAGGTCTCTCTTCCTTTGTATATGTGTGGGGGTGGGTGGGGGTCCTTCTTAGAAGGACATTAATACTGTTGGATCATGGTCCCACCCATATGACCTCATTTACCCTTAATTATTCCCTCAGAGGCCCCCATCTCCAAATAGAGCCCACAATGGGGGTTAGGGCTTCAACCAGGGATCTTGAGGGGACACAAACATTCAGTCCATAATGGTAGACAAGGGTGCCTGAGTGGCTCAGTCGTTAAGCATCTGCCTTTAGCTCAGGTCATGATCCCAGGGTCCTGGGATCGAGTCCCACATCAGGCTCCCTGCTCAGCAGGAAGCCTGCTTCTCCCTCTCCCACTCCCCCTGCTTGTGTTCCTGCTCTCGCTGTCTCTCTCTGTCAAATAAATAAATAAAATCTTTAAAAAAAAAAAATCTTATCCTAGACCTTCTCTGGGTCATTATGGCTTGGGCTGCATGAAGAACAAAGTCGATAAAGTCAAACTTTTTGTTTGCTTCAAAATATAGCTGTCTCTAAGACTGAATTTGTTTGACTTCTGTTGAAGGCCATGGTTTTTCCTTCTCTCCCTTCACAGTCATCCATTCAACAAATACATGTTAGGCACCTACTCAGTTCAAAAGTCAGAGAGGTTCAGAGCATAGTCTCAGAGCCAGATCATCTATTAGTTATTATTAGTTATTATTTTTTTTAATATTAGTTAATATTATTAGTTAAATAGTATTGGAGTATTAGAGTTACTTAACCCCTCTGTGCTGCTGTCTCCTCTAACATGGGGGTGATGATAATACCTATATCATAGGATTATTATATGAAGTAAATGTGTTCATAATATAAAGTCCTTAGGTTAGTACTTGGCACATAATTTACATAGTGAGCATTCTATAAGCACTATTACTACTTGGTTTGATGAAAGAAATGAAAACACTCATAGGATTAAACATTGTCTTCAAGAAGCCCATATTCTAATGAGAAGAATGAGCATGTAAACAATGACCATGCAAAGCAGCTAATGCTCTGTAGATGTATATGTGGCAAACTTTGGGAAGAAGTCGTGAAAGTCTTTGTGGAGGAGGTGACATTTCAGCAGTTTTGAGTATTTTAGGCAAATAATCAGGAAGATTCCTGGCAGTGTGAAGAGAATTTCTCAAGGCCGGTGGTTGGGAGAGAGCATGTGGTACTGAGGACCAATCAGGTAAGGCTATATGTATAGGTCTTGTCTAAAAAGACTTGCTACAGGTGAACTTGAAGAGAGGCAGGGTCAGCTCTTAAGAACTTTGTACTTTTTAGAATTGGCATTGAGGAGCCATTAACTTCAACAAAGGAGGAGAAAGGAAGGGGAAATCTGTTGAATCCATTTTTCTCCTTGTGTAGCATTTACCCCAAAATAGCAAGAATGAGAGAAACACACACTCATCTGATGATGAAACCAGGAGGTATGTTGCCCAGACCATAGCTTATGAAGAAGGAATGTGTATGGAGGAAACAGTAATGAATTAGCAGATCAGAAGAAAATCAAATCTAAGTGTCTGCAGAGAGAGACATTGGTAAGATAAATTTACCAGTTTGCCCCCAGAATCTCTGGAGAATTGAAGAATGGAGGACACTGTAGAAGGCTGAGATGAGATGGAGGAGCCTGAAAATGAGATTGTGTCCACCCCCCCTCCACTCACTGTCAGTAATTGCCTTTGCCAGAGGAGCTTGTTTTCTGGAAGAAATTGAAATAAAGAGTCCCTGGAGAGTAAAGGTGAAACTCAGAACAAACAAATGGTCAGAATGAAATTCTCCATTGGAATGGTAAGACTTGAAGTTCCAGGATACTGGCCATTTGGCTCAGACATCTTAGATGATCCTTTAGAGAAACTGAACAACCTGAGAGAAAAGAGCTAGAATAGTGTGATATTTGAAGATCCCAAGCCAGTCCAATCACCCTATACTGCAGAGCCATTCAGTGTCTAAGTCCAAGTTACATACAGCTTCCAGAAACATTTTTGTATTTCATTCTAAAAATTAAGTGGACATAATAAAAAACCGGAAGTTACCCACATATCCATCAGTAGTAGAATGAAAAAAAATAAATTGTGGCATAACATAATGAAACACAACACAAAAATTAAAAAAAAATGAATTACTAATAAACACAACATGGATGAATCTCAAAGATGTTATGTTGAATAAAAGAAGCCAGTCACAAAAGAGTGCATACTGTGTATGAAATCAGAAAGGGGCAAAACTAATCAATGGTGTTTACCCATGGGGAGAGGGGAGATATTAATTAGGAATGGGCATTGGGAACTTTTTTGGGTGAAGGAAATGTTCTATATCTTGATCTGAGTGTTGTTCACATGGATATATATATATATCTATATATCTATATCTATATCTGTATAACTGTTTAGCTACATATTTTTGCATTTTATTTTATGTAAATTTTATCTAAAATAATAAATACACAAATCAAGATTCACCAGACATTTGAGGGAGGCATTTATTTATTTATTAAAGATTTATTTATTTTAGAGAAAGAGCATGCACAAGTGGGGGTAGGGCCAGAGGGAGAGGGAGAGAATCTCAAGCAGACTCCCCACTAAGTGCAGAGCCCAACATGGGGTTCAGTCTCACAACCTTGAGATCATGACCCTGATCATGACCTGAGCTGAAACCAAGAGTCAGATGCTCGACTGACTGAGCCACCCAGGTGCCCCTTGAGGGAGGGCTTTAAATGCAGAGACCAAAGACTATGAGTCCCACAAAGGAAAGAATTTTTGTTCTGATGTATCCCAAACACCTAGAAAAGTGCCTGGCATATAGTTTCTCAGTGCATATTGGTTAACCAAATCAATGAAAACAAGCACACAAAAACCAAAGAGAAAACAGGACCTCAAGAAACCTAGAGAGAAATACAAAACAAAGTTTCAGAATAATTACTATCCTCCCAGGGATAACAGACG